TCTTTCCTTTTTTTTTTTTCCTTTTCCTTTTTTCCCTCCCTTTCTCCTTTCCTTTTGCAGAGGGCCAGAGGAGGTGGGAGGCAGCCAGCAGGGAGGAGCATCCCCAAATTAGGATGCTGCTGCTGGAGTCAGAGGTGTCAGTGCTCTGGGCAAGCCTCCAGGCCCCGCTGGCACAGGCACAGTTGTTAGAAAGAGTGAGCATTAACAGCCTGAGTCAGAGCCTCCCTCCTGCCCCAGTCCTTTCTGCTAATATTTATTAACTCGACTATTTCAGTATTAAAGACCCAACATAGCCGAGCTCTGAATCAGATTTCTCGGTAATAACCACCCCAAAGCATAACACTTCTCCTCCCAAGGTGGACAGAGGACTGTGGAACATCTTTGTCCCCAAAGGAAACAGGAAAATTTGCAGACAAGCTGTGCTGGCTGCCTTCACTTTCTTCCTTCTCCTCCTCCTCCTGTGGAAACTGCTGGTAAGGCTTTCCATGGTGCCTTACCTCGGATCACCTCTCTCCTTGGATGCTCTCCTTGGAAGGGGGAGGATGGATTATTGGAGTACCCCTGAGCCCCTGGAAAGGAGGGCAGTGAAAAAGAACATCATTTAAAAGGGACTGTGGGCAACCTGCTTTGGTTTTTCACCAGGCAGGATGGTCTCTGCACCCTTGCAGAACCCAAATTTGCTCATTCTTGAGGAAGCTGGAGCCCTGACCTGTGCAGAGAGCAGCAATGCTCTGGACACAGCACCTCCTGACAGAGAACTGACCCTTTGGGATACCCGTTTTCCCCAAGCAGATGCACATTTGCACTCAGCAAGCTTGTCTTTGCAATTGCCACCCTCAGACGTGTTTGGATCAACACAAAATGCTGCATTCCCTGGGGTGGAGCTCAGTGCAGAGAGGGAAATCCAGCTGAGGCTGCAGTTTGGGCAGATATTTCATTTAACCACAGACCTGTCATCAGGCCTCAGAAGCCTGGGAGTGTCTGGAGAGATCCAAAAGTCTCCCTGCAGACCCCTCCTGCTGTGGACACACCACAGATTCCTGCAGTGCTGTGGGCAGATATCTGGAGGTCCATGGGGAGCTCCTCATCCATACCAGTCCTTCCCTCCTCCAGCCACCCACACCTCCCTGGCTGATAACATTTTTTCATCACTTTTTTCTGAACCAACCAGCAGAAAATTGCTGCTATCCTCCACAGGGCCATCCTCTCAGCAGCCTCTGTGATTTTTTTGGGAGTTCACCCACAGCTTTTGCTGGATTTAGAGAGGGCCAGCTCAAGCCTCAGAGTGGGGAATCTCATTTTTGGGCAGCCACATCGACTTGCTGAACATGCACAGGGGATTGCAAAGCCTTTTTTCACAGCCTGTGGATGCAGGGTGAGGTTGGTGGTGCTTCCACAGCGAGCTGGTGATTTATTTGGGGTTTTGGTCACTGTATCAGGGGTCAAGGACAACAAACCCCAATGGGCTCAGTCAGTTTTGCAAAAGAAAAATAAAACGTTTGCACGAAGAACAAGGCAAGAGGTACTGAAAGGAGGGAAAACTCTCACTTTTGGGTACATCTGCTGACCAGCACATGAAATCTGCATTTTCCAGGGTTTTCCCAAGGCAGCACAACCTGTAAAAGCCCCAGAGACTCAGGGCTGGAAGTGAGCACCTGCCCCAGCTGACTGGCCTAAGCAAAATTATTCCACAGTGCTACATCTGCTACTAGAGGGAAGGAAAGCAGGAAAGCTGGGGTGAGGAGGAGAGGAGACAGCCACATACAGGTTTGCATGAAAAGTGAGATAAAAATATAAAACAGCCACAAATTTTAAGAAGGTCACCAAAAAAAGATGAGGAAAAAACACACACTGGGATGATGAAAGGGGTGGCAAGCAGAGGATCAGATTTTACATTTGAAGAGCAACTGGACTTCCCTACTCTTGTCAGAAGAGGAACTTACACTCAAAAGCTAGAATAAAATACAAATACAAATGACTAAAATATCTACTTTTTCATGTCAGTAAAATAATGCTCTTTGGTGCATAAATGGTTTTTCTGCTTTGTAAGTGGGATTATCTGCATCCCAAACTGTGAGGAGCTTTGTGTGCTGCTGCCTGAATAAGCTGAATCCTCCAGAAAAACTGAATTATGAAAATAAAAAATAAAGCACTGATATACAACTCTTGAACAAAGAAATTATGGGAAGTGTTTTGGAGCCTTTTATAGGTGATGGCATCCATTCAGAAGCAATACAACTCTGTAAATCCATTTACACAGCTCCCTCTTCATGAATATAGGATGGTCTCTGCCTGTGTGAGGGGCACTGAGATGCTTTGAGCTGAGCAAATAATTGTTTATAAGTGGTTTATAAACCTTTTTACTGAACAGGTCCAAAAAATGATTGCAGGGCAGTGATCATGCAGATGCAAATGGTGATGCCTTGTGAAGGCAGACCTAGAACAGAGGCTGGACAGAGCTAAAGAATAAAGCAGGATTAAAAGGATTTCCTAAATGGATCCACCTTGGGCAGCACAAGAGCCCAGCCAGGGCTGCACCCAAGATGAACCAAAATGGCCCCAAAATGCATGAGCATTCACAGGGGCTCTCACTTTTATAAGTTCTGCTTCATTTGCATATTAGGGTTAATTGTCCATTCCAGCTTTAGCCCATAAAGTCCCATCCTGCTTGTTTTTCTCTCTTCAATTTACTGCTGTTTATAATTTTGGGGCCTGGAGCTTGTAAATGTTCTCTTTGGTCAAGCTAGAAAAGGAATTGTTTTCATTCTCCAAGGGAAAAGAATCTACCTACCCTCGGAGGAGAACTTGCTAACACTAAATATGAATCTCAGAGCGACACACAAAATCAGGAGAGAATCTGAAAAACCTAAAAAGCTAAAAAGGCACCAACAGCATTGACCACACCCATTTTGTAAAAGGAAGACTGCAAACCAATTATTGGAGGGCGGGTGGTTTATTTTGTTTACCTTTTTCCTCCTCAAATCCCACAGAAAACGGGCCCCGTCTCCTCGTGGTCGCAGAGCAAGCCAAAATCTTCTCCCACCGCGGCGGCAACGTGACACTGCCATGCAAATTCTACCACGAGCACACCTCCACCGCCGGCTCAGGAACGCACAGAATCCGCGTCAAGTGGACCAAACTCACCTATGATTACCTCAAGGAAGTGGACGTGTTCGTGGCCATGGGGCACCACAGGAAGAGCTACGGGAGCTACCAGGGCAGGGTGTCCCTGCGGGAGAGCAGCGAGAACGACGCCTCGCTCGTCATCACCAACATCAGGCTGGAGGACTACGGCCGGTACAAGTGCGAGGTGATCGAGGGGCTGGAGGACGACACGGCAGTGGTGACCCTCAATTTGGAAGGTAGGCGACACCCTGAGCCACACCTTGGGTGGGGTTGGTGTGGTGTTAGACAATTCCTGCTTTTTTTTCCTTCCTTCTGCTGGTATTGTGTTGTCAGATACTGGCGTTGCGTTATCGCCGGTATCGTGCCATCACTGATTTTATCTTATCAGTGGTTGTGTGTCATCACTGATTTTGTGTGTCATCAGTGAAAACAGCAAGCTGAGGAAGCAGAATTCATTGTGTTCATTGTTCAGTCCACGACAACAATCATAAATTGCAGCATCATCGTGGCTAGTAGAACTCACGCTAGCCTACGGCATATCCAAATTCCAAATTCTGGTGTGAGAAGAGCCAAGAAGGGATGAGCAAACACAGTGTTGAGGGTTCCATGTGTTTTTCATTTTCTCCTGTCATTTTGCAGAAGCCACTTCATCTTTTCACCTAGGTAAAATTATATCAAATTCCCCTGCAATAGTAATTTTACGAAACTTCGGGGTATTTTAGAATATCAAGCAAATGCGAATCTTCTTTTAAAGACAAAAAATTTTCCAGTAGTTATCCAGAGACAGGGTGTTTGCATTTCTCCAGCCTTATAATTAGATAAATTAGATCTTTATATTGTCTGCCAGGACAACTCCTACATGTAATGTCTAGTCATTTTCTACATCATTATTCTTGAAGACAGTAGAGTGAAAAGGTAATGAAACAGGTTTAAAGAGGACAAAATTTCATCTTTCCTTACTTCTTATGCAATTAATATAGAGTTGATGAGTTTCAATGCATGTAAAAGAGTGTTTGACCCTTTCTTTTTTTTTCCCCAAAGCACTGCACTGAACACAGAGGTAAACTAAAAGTTTCATGAGGACACATCACAGACTCTTACAGTTGCCAGCAAGTGTATGCCAGAGGGATCCAGAGAGAGGAAGAGGGAAAAGAAAAAAAAAAAAAAAAAAATAAAACAATGACACAAGATCCTTACAGTAAACACACACTAGTAATAAAAATGATTGTGTCAGTCTTATATTGTGTCAGATTTATATTNAAAAAAAAAAAAAAAAAAAAAAAGAGAGAAAAAAGAGGAAGAGAGAATTGGGTAAAGGGAGGGAAAAGAAAAAAAGGAGGAAAAGGGGAAAATGAGGAAAGAAGGAAAAGAGGAGAAAGAGAAGAGAATGAGAAGGAGGAAAGGAGGAAAGGAAAAGGGGTAAGGAAAAGCAAAAGGAAAAGGAAAGAGGAAAAAGGATGCAGCTGCACAATAAGAGTCGTTCTTGGAACCAGATAAACATAATGGGTTTATTTTACTTCTTTCCATCTATTCTTCCGTTCCTGGCTGGAGCCCACAGAAACTTCCCATCTGGAATTGCTGGAAAACCCTGCCCAGTTTCCATGCCAGTGGGGTAGTGCATTTAGGTTGTTCCACCCCACATAATTCATCTTTAACAAGAATGTACCCTGCTCTTTTCAAACTTATGTGATAAAGAAAACTGGACATTTACATGTTTAGCTTAAGTTCTCAGTTATGAGTGAAGACAGAAATGAGCTGGAGGAGAAAAATCTTTATTCTTCTCTTCTGGCCAAAATCTCTGGTGTGTTCTGCCTCCCCTCCACTGGGACAGGCTCTGCAGGGGTTACTCAGCCCCTGAAGGGGGAAAATTCCTCTTGGCAGGCTCAGCTTTACCTGAGTGAAACAGCTCTCCTCACCTGCTCAGGCTCTTGCTTCCTCTGCAGTAAAAGTTCATTATTTTTATGCTGTTAAAAGCAAGGGAATTGTGCTGCAAATGCTTCCTGCTGTGCCTGGGAAGGGGAGATGCTGATGGACGTGGAAGCAGAGCAAATTTGCCAGAAGCTTGGTCCAAATGCTTGTGCACATGCAGAAATCCATACCTGAAATTCATTATTGGATTAAAGGTGCAGTGGGAAAGCAATGAGAAATCATTTCTTTGCTGCCTGCAATAGCACAAGGCAGACTTGTTTTAAAAAATATTTTCTGCCTTTTCTACTGTTACTGTTTTGTAATATAGCACCAGCCTTGGATACAAGGTCAGGGTCCCTCCTCCAAAATAAGGAAATTCATATGTAGAGGAGGAATCATATTTCTTCAGTCAAATGTGCTCCAAACTGTGCTCAAAGGAAGGTTTATGTATTTTTAACTAGTGTCTGGCTAACATAAGGAGCAATGGTTTTCCAGTGATTTTTGTCTCACATGGGACAGTGTAAGGCTGTTCATTTCTGACGTTGTGGTGTTTCTTAAACTATAAGAAAATTTTTCTTCGCAAAACTTCATGGTAAAATGTAAGTTTTCAAGTAAAATAAAAGTGGTGAGGGTTTCAGTGTCAACCCTGCTTGTGTTGACTAAGCCCAGTGATTCTGAGTCTATGGTACACTGAATTTTCCTAAT